CCCCCCCCCCCCCCCCCCCCCCCCCCCCCTTCGACCACGAGCTAGCCCTGTATCATCTTCCCTACCAATCATTGTCAATGTAACTAGGCAACGCCCTACCGCTCTCTATTTTAAATGTGTGTCATTCATTGCGTAATATTGAACTTGAATATAATATCGAATTTTTATGATGGAGTTTGAATTTCTAGAAAACTGGATTGGCAACTTGTATTCCATGAGCTTGAAGCAAATACCAGTGCAGGTCGATTTCAATACCCACAGGCGTGTTGTATTGTAAGACAGCTAATTCTATAAGGTGTAAAGGTATATATAGGTCAATGAATATGAAGTATTTGTACGGATGCCTGTGTATCATATTTTGTATTGTTCAACTTTCAACAGCGCAGTCAGGTAAGAAAAACGTCTTAAGTTAAAATATAGTGTACAAATTTTTCAAATATCTTTTATTTAAGTTATGAATACAATGGCCAAGTGTGTCGGTCAATAAACACGCAATTTGAATGATGGGTGAAATCATAAGAGTTGAATACTTTTCCAGATAAAGTACATGACAAAAGGGCGTTGAACGTAGCCTTATCTTTTAAACCATAGAGTACAGAAAAATCAATACTTAAAGGGACTGTGAAAAGGTTTTTTCTAAAAAAAATTGGTGTATTGGGACACTGATAGCACCGATTTGCATCATTCGAATTCTCAGTCATTCATCTGTGGTTCCTGCAATTCCATTAAGAAGTAATTTATGACGCCAAAGAATAGTTAAAGTGAAATTGCAAGAACGACTGACATTAGAAATTTGAATTTGAACCAGTGGCGGCACCAGCCTCTCGAGATTGGGGGTACAAATAGGGCAGACTGACTAAATGAGGGGAGGAGATTCAAACTGCGACAGCTCTGTGGAAACAAATAAGCAAGGGCCTCCAACTGAGTATATAAAAGGGTTCTCCACAAGAAAACGTTTGAAGAATTGATTTGGTGCCTCATATTGTGGGACGGACAAATGAAAAAATCATCTTCTATGATATAAGAAAGGTGACTATTGCAGTCAAGGTATAAGCTCAAGTTTCGTAATAACACTGTGAAGATGAGCTCTGTTTTATAGAGTGGACTATACGACTAGTAGATGGTAGTAGATATAACGAGGGTCGAGTAGAGATATATTATAATGAGAGGTGGGGTACAATCTGTGACGACGGCTGGTCCACAGAAGATGCTGATGTTGTTTGTAGACAGCTAGGATTTAGAAGGTAGGGGTAATAGTTCTTTATTTACATCCGGGACACTGATAGCGCAGAAGCCAATGGATTTCAGATTTAATTTTTTAAGGGGGGGGGGGGGGCTTTACTAAAAGCAAAGAGGTAAACTTGCTATTGGTCCAATAACCATAACCTTGTGTCTTATATTACAGA